TAGGAAAGATATATTGATTAAGAAAGGCAAAAAAACCCTAGCTCAGAAGAAAGATTGTGTTCAATCTTTCTTTTCTTTCTTTTAGCAAATGGGGCCATAATTCCAAGTAAATGGCATGTGAAGCTGTTAAGAGCCAGGCCCCACATTCACATTTTGATGTTCTGCTGGTTGTAAATAATATGCACGACTGCACCAGGGACCAAATTGCTCGTTAGCTGCCAACATTAATTGTTTAATGATCTGAGGAGCAGAAGCTGCCAATTATTGTATTCCTTCTTAAAATGCCATTTAAAACCCATACATGTAATTATTTCACCTTTTTGTTAATTTTTTATGATTCTTCTGAAGTTGATGAGCTGTAGTTTCATTCAACCTATAAAACCCAGAGAATACTTTAAGGTTATCTTTACATAACTGAGCTAAAAATCCTTATATCATGAATTGTGTGGAGTTCTGGACTCTAGTCCTTGATCTTCCCCTATTTGTTCGTTGAATAAATTTAACCAAAGGACACATCCCAGAGCCTTAATCTTCCCATCTGTTCATTGAGATCATAGCACATTTCCCACCTCCCTAACACAGTAATTGTGAAAAATCAAATAAAAAAAATTTTAAAGCACTATTCAAATGAAAAGATAATATACTATTTTCAGAGACTCTTCTTTCAACCTATTAATTAACAGAAAAACATGTCCCTTAATAGCTTCCAATATAAAGCGGAAATATGATCTTGTACCATGGACCACCAGAAGAATGAACAAATCTGTCCTGGAAGAAGTGTAGCCGCAATGCTTCTTAGAAATGAGAATGGCCAGACTTCATCTCACCTACTTTTGTCATGTTGTCAGAAGGGACCAATCCCTGGAGAAAAATATCATGCTTGGTAAAATATAGGGTCAGCAAAAAAGGTTAAGGCCCTCAAGGAGATGAATTAACACAGTGGCTGCAACAATGGGCTCAGATATAGCAAGGATTGTGAGGCTGACAAAGGACCAGGTAGTGTTTTGTTCTGTTGTACACAGGGTCACTATGAGATGGAGCTGACTTGGTGGCATCTAACAATAACAACATGATCTTGGGGGAATTCTCCGTTTTCTATGGCTAGATTGTTAAACTGAGTATATCAATTTGTCTCATGGTATCATAAAGATAATTGAAAATATCCAATAATCCTCATAGAGCCTCTATACAAACAAAACCAAATTCACTGCCGTTGAGTCAGATCTGACTCATAGCTACCCCTCCTTGGGTTTCTGAGGTGATATCACTATGGAAGTAGATTGCCCAACCTTCCTTCTGAGGAGTGGCTGGTGGGTTTGGACCACTGGCCTCCTGGTTAGCAGTAAAATGCCTTAGGCACTATGCCACCAGAGCTCTTTTTAAATATATGCTAAGAATTTATGGCATACAAAATAAATTTAGTGTTTAACTGTTAAACAAAGGGAACTAGAAGTCTAATACACGGTAACTAAACAAATAATTATTTAATTGTATATTGTGTGTGTACATGTATTTTTAAGACTCTTATCCATCCCTGTAAAAAGAAATCATGTTGCCCATCCATTCCAACCACTATTTCTCTGACAGTTTCTCTCATACTGTAGTGGCTTACACTTTGCTGTAAGACTAGAAGCTATGCCACTGGTATTTTGAATACCAGCAAGGGTATACATGGTAGACAAGGTATCAGGGGAGCTTCCTGACTAAGACACACTGGAAAGAAAGGTGGGGCCATCCACCTCTAAGAGAATTGGCTACTGAAAACCCACTGAATACCAGGGAAACACTGTCTGGTATATTACTGGACAACTTTATGAAGAGCCATGAAACACTATCTAATATAGTGCTGGCAGATAAGTCCCTCAGGTTGGAACACACTGAAAATATTCCTGGGGAAGAGCTGCCTCCTCAAAGTAGATTTTACCTTAATGACATCAAAGGAGTAAAGCCTTTGAGACCTTCATTTGCTGATGAAGCATGACTCAAATTGGGAAGAAAAAGTTACAAACATTCATAAATAATCAGAATGTGGAAAATATGAAGTACAAATCCATAAAAACTGGAAGCTGTCAAAAATGAAATGGAACATACAAAAATCAATATCCTGGGCATTAGTGAGCTGAAATGGACTGGTATTGGCCCTTTTGAATCAGACAACCATACAGTCTACTATGGCGGGAATGACAAACTGAAGAGGAATGGTATCACATTCACTGCCACAGAGATCATTTCAAGATCTATCCTGAAACATAATGCTATCAGTGATAGTACAATATCCATACACCTACAAGGAACACCAGTTAATATTACTATTATTCAAATTTAAGCACCAACCACCAAAGCAAAGATAAAGAAATTGAAGATTTTTATCAACTTCTGTAGAATGAAACTAACCATACAATCAAGATGTATTGATTATTGCTAGTGATTAGAGTGCAAAAGTTGGAAACAAAGAAGAATTATCAGTAGTTGGAAAATATGGCCTTAGTGATAGAAATGACACTGGAGATCATATGATAGAACTTTGCAAGGCCAACAACTTATTCATTGCAAATACCTTTTTTCAACAACATAAACAGTGCCTGTATACATAGAACTTGCCAGATGGAATATACAGAAATCAAATTGACTACATCTATGGAAAGATGTAATGGAGAAGCTCAATATCATCAGTCAAAACAAGGCCACGAGCTGACTGTGGAACAGACCATCAATTGCTTATATGCAAGTTCAAGTTGAAGCTGAAGAAAATTAACACAAGACCATGAGAGTCAAAATATGACCATGAATATATCCCACTTGAACTTAGAGGCCATCTGAATAACAGAGTTGATGCATTGAACACCAGACGAGTTTGATCTGAAAATCAAACGAGTTGTGGGGTGACATCAAGAACATTATACATGAAGAAAGAAAAAGTCATTTAAAAGACAGGAAAGGAAGAAAAGACCAAAATGGATGTCAGAAGAGACTCTGAAACTTGCTCTTGAATGGAGAGTAGCCAAAGCGAAAAGAAGAAATGTTGAAATAAAAGAACTGAACAGAAAATTTCAAAGGGTGGCTCAAAAAGACAAAGTAAAGTATTATATCAAAATGTGAAAAGACCTGGAATTAGAAAACCAAAAGACAAGAATACATAGGCATTTCTTAAGCTAAAGGAACTGAAGAAAAAATTCAAGCCTAGAATCGCAATATTGAAGGATTCTATGGGCAAAATATTAAATTTCTATCATAAAAAGATAGAAAGAATTACACAGAGTCGCTGTACAAAAAAGAATTGGTCAACGTTTAATCATTTCAGGAGCGTAGCATATAATCAAGAACCAATGGTATTAAAGAAGTCCAAGCTCCACTAAAAGAATTGGTGAAAAATAAGGCCCTAGGAATTGACGGAATACTCATTGAGATATTTCAACAAATAGAGGCATCTCTAGAGGTGGGTACTCATCTATGCCAGAAAATTTGGAAGACAGCAACCTGGCCAACTGACTGGAAGAGATCTATATTTGTGCCTATTCCAAAGACAGGTGATCCAACAGGATGGGGAAATTATCAAACAATTATCATTAATATCACATGCAAGTAAAATTTTGCTTAAGTAAAAAAAAAAAAAAAAAATGCAGCAGTATATTGGCAGACAACTTCCAGCGATGTAAGCTGGATTCAGAAGAGGACATGTAATGAGGAATATCATTGCTGATGCCAGATGAATCTCAACTGACAGCAAAGAATATCAGAAAGATGTTTACCTGTGTTTTATTGACCAAGCATTTGACTGTGTGGATCATAACAAATTGTGTTTTATTGACCAGGCATTCAACTGTGTGGATTATAACAAATTATGGATAACATTGCAAAGAATGGGAATTCCAGAACACTTAATTTTGCTCATGAGGAACCTGTACATACACCAAGAGGCTGTTCCAACAGAACAAGGGAATAATGCATGGTTTAAAATCAGGAAGAGCATGTGCCAGGGTTATATCCTTTCACCATACTTATTCAATCTGTATGCTGAGTAAATAATCCCTATATGAAAAAGATCACAGCATTGGGGTTAGAGGAAGAGTCATTAACAACCTGAGATATGCAGATGACACAACCATGCCTTCTGAAAGTGAAGAGTATTTGAAGCACTTACTGATGAAGATCAAAGATCAGTATGGATTACTGATGTATGTATGGTATACCTCAACATAAAGAAAATTAAAATCTCACAACTGGACCAATAAGCAACATCATGATAAATGGTGAAAACACTGAAGTTGCAGAAAATTTCATTTTACTTGGATCCACAATCAACACTCAGGGAAGCAGCAGTCAAGATATCAGATATCATATTGTACTGGGTAAATTTGCAGCAAAAGATCTCTATAAATTTTTTAAGAACAAAAATAATCACTCTGAAGATGAAGGTGCACCTGACCCATGCCATAGTATTTTCAATTTCCTCATATGCATGTAAGAGCTGGACAATGAATAAGGAAGACTGAAGAAGAATTGATGTCTTTGACATGTAGTGTTGGGGAAGAATACCAAAAGTATCATGAACTGCTGCAAAAATCAACAAACCTATCCTGGAGGAAGTTCAGCAAGAATGGCCAGACTTCATCTGTGGTCAGAAGGGACCAGTCCCTGGAGGATATTATGCTTGGTAAAGTGGAGGGTCAGAGAAAAAGGGGAAGAACCTCAACAAGATGGATTGACACAATGGCTGCAACAATGGGCTCACCCAGAGCAAGGATTGTGAGGATGGTGTTGGATAGGGCACTATTTCATTCTGTTGTAGATGGGGTCACTATGAGTCAGAATTGACTCAGTGGCACCTAACAATATCATATTCCATGGGTATACAGTGAAACTTTCTAGAAAAGTTTTTAAAATGTGTGAATATGACATAAGTGAGTGGCAGAATGTCAATCAAGGACAAAATACCAAGTGACTCATTATTTTAGTTCTACTGCTTTGCTGTAGAAGCACTCTTCATTGTTTCTCATTACCTGATATGGCAAGCATTTTGGCTTCAAGCAATGTCGGCAGTTGGGCTTCAATATCACTAACTTTCCTCCTCAGAGACCTGCAGAGTCTCTCATTCATACACACCTAGAAGGAGAGGAATAGCCACAAATTATCATTTATTCAGGTAAAAGTCAAAACACAGCAAAGCAGGGTTTATAAGTAGATAAGAGGGGTGGTAGTTTATAAGTAGATAAGAGGGGTTTTGCCATATATATATATATATTTGTGTGTCTGTACGTGTGTATGTGTATACCACGGTAATATTTTTTACTTTAAAATGTAATTAAAAAGAAGAGGAAAAGGAAAGTAACTTTAGGAGCTTCATCCCTACTAGGATGGCAATGATCTGAAAAATGGAAAATAACAAGTGTTGGAGAGAATGTGGATAAATGGAAGCTTTTTGTATTGCTTATGAGAATATAGAATGGTGCAGCTGCTGTGGTAAACAATGTGGTGGTTTCTCAAAAAGTTAAACATAGAATTACCTTATGACCCAGGAATTCTACTCCTGGGTATATACCCAAGAAACTTGAAAGCAAGGAGTCTGACAGATAATTGTACAGCAGTTTTCATGGTAGCAACATTACTCATAATAGCCAACAGGTGGAAACAACCCAAGTGTCCATCAACAGATGAATGGATTAAAAAAGTTGGTATATCCATATGACAAAACAGTATCAGTCATAAAGAAAATGAAATTCTGATACATGTTACAATATGATGAACCTTGCAAACATTATGTTCAGTGAATAAGTCAAACACAAAAGGACAAATACTGTATGATCCCACTTATATGAAACATTTAGAACAGACAAATGCATAGAGATAAAGCTTTATTACTGGTTACCAGCAGGTGGAGGAAGGGGAGAATGAGATATTATTGTTTAAAAGGTGCTGAGTTTCTCCTTGAAGTGATGAAAAACTTAGAAAAGGATAGTGATGGAAGACAACATGGTGAATGTAATTAATGCATACTTAAAAACAGTTAAAAGGAAATTTTTGCTTTATATATTATAACACAA